AAAAAAAAAAAAAAATATATATATATAACACAACAGCACTATCAGGTCGTATTTGTTTCCCTAACCCCCTTTTCTCTAAACAATGTACTAAACATGAAACTATAAAAGTTATTGCCTAACGCAAAGGTTTTTTATGTTAGATCCACAATAAATGCATATAGATGTCTAAACATCTGACAAATGACAATCTGACTTGGCCCTCCTAACCATATAGGTAATTTGTAAAAAGCCACCCACATAACAGTGTCTTCAGCAGCCTATACTTTGATCTTGCTTGTTTTGTTTAGTTCTACATCAAGAACTAACATGAATGAAAGCTAGAATTGCAGTGCATCTAAGGTAACGCACAGTTTACAAATGAGAGATATGCTCGGATAAATGATCTTGAGCAAAATATGAAATTAAACCTCAAGAACCTTTTGATTTTACCCATCGGCACCAAAACTTTGTGCAACAGACATATATCAGGACAAGGCTCACATGAAGGTAATACAATAAAAGTTATATTACCGCTGCTAAGCAACAACATATCTTAAAAGGAATTAGATAGTCATGACTATAAGCTTGATAATGATGTACCATTATAGCATTATATTCATTCACGCGATTGACGTTTAGTGACAACAATGAGCAGCTCACGAATAAGCTCTTAAAATGATTTTCTTTTATGTTTTTTTAAATTAAAATTGAACTTCTCTGGAAATAGATTAAGTGGAAAAGCCACCTAGAGCAATCATTGTAAAATAAGCAAGCAGCTTTAGAAATACCACGCTGACATTTCATTTTATTAAAAATGAGCAAATTCAGTAATACCAGATAAAAACAAAAATCATTGATGGATATTGTTGTATTACTATCTTTTTTTTCCAAACAGCAAATGAACATGCATAAGAGGATTGTCAATCAAATGAAAGAGAGAAAATATGACGAATGATGAAAGACAATGTGGATAAAAATCTTGTGGGATCAAAAAAACACATAATTTACAGAATCATGAATGCACAACATATTCTGAGAGAGATTTGCTAGACGAAAACGATCAACTGATAGACGATGCCCTTTCCAACTGGATACTTCAGAATCAAAACTAATAAAACTAATACGACGCCTTTTGACATCACCGAAGCTAAGGGAACACACTTCTAGTTCTTCACTGTCTTACGATTTCCTGGTTTACCTAAAAAGTTATCTGTTATCCCAACAAAAATTATTCACCCTCCAACTCTCGAAATCCAATGATACTATCCTTGCAGCAAATGTACATTGACATCAAATTTCTACATAACGAGAAAACAAACCAGCATACAAGCATAATGCAGCAAAAATTCAACGTAATAGGTTATCAGAATCGGCGTTGAAGATTGATTTGCTCAGAAGCACAAGAGGCAGCATCACATACCAGGTGGAGAGGACCGGTTTTGGAGAGAAGACAACGAGGGCAGGGCACCGGTGCTGGGATCGGATCTGATAATCTCTGAGTTGCTCCACGAGTTTTGAACGAGTTATCATCGAGTTGTTACCCCGAATCGGGGCTGGAACCGATTCCTCTCTCCCGCCGGAATTGGATTGAAACCCACCAGATTCTGGGTGAAGTGATGAATTTGCAGCGCCTTTTCTTATGTGCGAAGGGAATGTTTTATGAATCGGAATTTCCCTTTTAACAGTTTCAAATTAGGGCAATATTGAAAACAAAGGGCTTTTTTTTTCAATTTCTTTTACATCTCAACTAGTGTGTATCCCGTGTGATGCACGAGAACAATTACAATTATAAAGAGACCTCGAGTTTGAGTCACTCAATGACAGAAGTGGAAACTACTATTAGTCTTATTTAAAAAGAGGAAGAAAAAAATAATTATAAATTAAAGAGGAGGATAAACAATAGTTAATAATTATAGATTAAAGATTCGGGACAATGTAAAATTATTTTGTATAAGAGAATATAAATTTTACATTATTTTGTATAAGATAATATAAAATTTGTATGTTTAATATTAAAAACACCTAAAGTGTTATATTAGTATATGTAAAAGTATTCAAATTTTCTATATTATTTTTGAAAGATATGAAGTCAACTTACAACTTTTCTAAACAATTTTAGAAGGAAAACATATCTAAAAAATTTAACATTATGTAAAAAAGATTTTTTTTTAGATTATTTGGCAAAGAAAACATGTCTACAAATATTTAAATTTAATATCAATTATGTATATGTGTATATGTATATATGTATGTATATATAGACGAATATGTAAAAAAAATGTCTAAACAATTTGTTTAAAGTATCTAAAATATGCGATTTCTCTTCCTCTAGGCGATTTCTTCATTCCTGCGGCTCCTTTCGCTCTTTCCGGCTTGACCTCTTCCGGCGGCGGCGAGGCCGGATCTGTGGCCGCCGCTGACCGCCCTTCCCTCCTCTGCTGTCGTTTTTCCTCGTTTTCGCAGCTGGGCATATTCCTTCGTCTCTCCCGTTCGCCGGTGGGTGGAGGTCTGGTGGCGGTTCCCGGTCTTTATCCGGGCTCGTCAGTGCCGCTCATTGTTGCTGGGAGCCCCGATTTGATGTTCTCTCCCTTGGCCTGGTCTGTTAAATGGGTTTGGTAAAGGGTAAATTTTGGGGGTTAGGGTTTGCGTGGGGCTCTTCGGTTTCACCGGCGAGGGCGTCTGTCTGGGCTTGTCTCGGGTCGCTTGGGTGTCTGGGGCCGTCGGTTCTGGGTGAAGGTGTGGCTGGGGCC